TGGGGAATGAAGGGCGTCCTGTGCGACTCCCCTGGGAGTGGACTCTCGGAATGGAAGCTGGTGGCTGCTCTCCTCTGGATTTGGCCCCACGTGCCTTTCTTTATCTCTGCGGGTTTCCTCTGTATTCTTTCATTGTAATAAATCATAGCTGTGCATATGACTACATGCTGAGTCCTGTGAGTCCTCCTGGCAAATCATCAAACCTAGAAGTGGTTTTGGGGGCCCCTAACACAGAGCATTTGAAAGTGTCCATAGAATATAGAACGTCCTGTCAAGATGGCAGCAGAGGTAAACGCAGTACTCAAGTCCTCTCACAACCACATCAAATTATAACTAAACCACAGAACAACCATCCTTCAGAACTGCCTAAAATGTGGCTGAATGAAAGTCCTACATCTAGGGATTTAAAGAAGAGGCCACACTGAGACTTGTAGGAGGGGTGAGGACACAGAACAGGCTGGTCCCACACCCGCGTGCTGCAGTTTATGGTCAGGAGGGACATCTCAACCGCACATATCTCCCCTGAGGTGCGAGGGGCCCCAGCCCCCGACCCGGCCCCCCAGCTCATGGCTCCAGTGCCAGGAAGAGCTGTAAAATCCACTGGGGATTAAAGCTGAGGGAGTCAGAGGGCTTCTGGAGGCCCAGGAAGCTCCTCTTAAAGGGCCCATGCATGAACTCACTCGAACTCACTTGCTCTGATCTCCAGCACTACAGCAGTAACTCGAAAGGCACCAGAGACTTACAGGAGAAGCAGAACTGTCTGGCATCAGGGTGAGAGCTGAGGAGGGGGCAGCTTTCTCCCAGGAAGAAGTGCTGGCAGAGGCCATTGTTCCTTTTCTGAGCCCTCCCCACATTAATACATCAGGGGCGGGATGCCATATCTGAGTCTCCACCAACCTGGCTGACACTGTTTTACCCTGCTCTGGTGATCCCCTAAGACCCTACCCGACCCAACTTTCAGGCCTGCCCAAGCCATTTCCAGTGGCTTTTCCGTACAAATGGCCTCTCTTGCCTCATGCTTCAGACCTTCCGAAAATCTCCCAAACAAGCAGCAACTGGCCTCTGCACACCCTGTACCTCTTGCTAAGTGGCCCCAGGCCTGGCATGAGGAGCAGCCAGCCTTGGTTCACAGCTTGGCCTCTTCTGGGCACATCCAAGCCCAGCACAAGTAGCAGCCATCTACAGGTCACTCTGTACCTCAGGCTGGGTGATCCTAGGCAGGGCATAAGACATGGATGACCTTGCACTTCCCAGGAGGCCCCAGAGGCAATGTACTCAGTGGACAGCTTTAGACCACACCAGATTATAACCCTCCCACCTTGAGGAGTGACAGCCTCAAAGGGCAGGCATGGTGAGCACCAAAGTCCCATTGAAGCAAGTCCTGCTCCTTAGGGTCCACTCCCACACAGCAGGTCCTTGAAGCCAATCAGCCTGGGGGTCAATCCATGAATGCCAAAAGAAATCAAGGCTCAACTATGATCAAAACACACAGCCCAGCTCTGGTGACTGCGGAGTCTGAGCCACTGGACCCCACAGGACACCTACCACATAAGGCCACTCTACCAAGTCTGGGAGATGTAGCAGCTCTATGTAATACATAGAAACAAACACAGGGAAGCAGCCAAAATGTGGAAACAAACAGGTCCCAAATGAAAGAACAGAAGTCTCCAGGAAAAAGAAAAGCTAAATAAAATAGAATCAAACTACCAGACACAGAGCTCAAAACAATGGTTATACGGATGCTCAAGGAACTGAGTGAGAACGTCAGCAGCATGAAAATGGGCGTGGAAACCATAAAAAAGAACCAGGTAGAAATGAAGGATACCATAACTGAAATGAAGAATAATTTACAGGGAATCAACACTGGAGTAAATGAAGCCAAGATCAGAACAGCAATTTGGAATGTAAGGAAGCAGAAAACAACCAACAGAACGGAAAAAAAGAAAAAAGAAACCAAAACTGAGGATAATGTAAAAAGCCTCTGGGACAACTTCAAGCATGCCAACATTCACATCATGGAGGTGCTGAAAGGAGAAAAGAGAGAGCAAGAAATTGAAAACTTATTTTAAAAAATGACAGAGAACTTCCCTAAGCTTGGAAGGAAATAGACATACAAGTCCAGGAAGCAAGGAGTCCCAAACGTGATGAGACCAAAGAGACCCTCACCAAGATACATCATAACTAAGATGCAAAGGTTAAAGACAAAGAGAGACTCTTAAAAGCAGGAAGAGAAAAGCAGCTAGTTAACTACAAGGGATTAACTGCCAGTGGATTTCTCAACAGAAACTTTGTGGGCCAGAGAGGAGTGGCAAGAAATATTCAAAATGATGGAAAGCAAGAACTACAACCAAGATTACTCTACCCAGCAAAGCTGTCATTTAGAATAAAAGGACATATAAAGAGCTTCCCAGACAAGGAAACCTAAAGGCGTTCATCACCACCAAACCAGTATTATTGAAATGTTAATGGGTCTCCTTTAAGAAGAAGGAAAAAAAAGATAAATAATATGAACAATAAAATGGCAATAAATACATACCTATCAACAACTAAATTTAAAAAAAATAATAATAAAAAATAAATGAAGAAGCAGGACAGAAACACTCATAGATACAGAGAACGTTTTGACAGTTGCCAGATGGAAGGGGGGTTGGGGGGCTGGGTGACTGAGCTGAGGGAATTAAGAAGTACAAATCGGTAGCTGCAGAACAGTCCTGGGGGTGTAAAGTACAGCACAGGGAATACAGTCAGCAATATTCTAATAACTATGTATAGTGGGAGATGAGTATGAGATTTATCAGGATGATCTCTTAGTAAGTTACATAAATGTCTAATCATGGGGTTGTACACCTGAGACTAATATAATATGTCAAGTATAACTGAAAAATAAAAAGTAATTTAAAAAAATACAAGTGCCATAGGGTATGGCCCAGATCACAAGAAGCTGTGGGCTTATAAAAAGATGTGCAGTAACAGGACCTTGAAGGAATGCTTACCAAAAGGAGTAAGCAGGGTGTGGCTGGGGGTGATAGGGTGCACTGGGGAGGGCGCAGCAAAATGTTACAGCAGAGAAGGCAATTACACCTGCACTATCCTTTGTCAACATTTTATTAGTATTATTTCTTTGTCTTGGGTTTGAGAAACTGTTTTGCCTATTTCCAAAATGACAGCAGATATCATGAATTCACAAGGATATTTAAAGATTCATTGCAATCCAATCTCCTCAGTAGTGGAGTTACTCCAGAACCCAGAGGAGCCATGGCTGACCCATGAGGGGAGACAACCCTGCTTCTGGCAGCACGGGTCTGGCAAAGGAGCATGGCTTAAAAAATGTAGGTTAAGTGAAAGGAATGATCAGTAGATACCAGGTCCACATACATGCCAAACGCCCTCTGCCTTTCCCTTCTCCTTATGATTTAGTTCGTCTTTAAAATTAAGAAACAGACCAGTCGATGGGAGAACGTGCTCTTCATTAGAAACGAATTCATGTTGTTTTAAAAGGATTGTAGTGGGTATTCAAGAACAGGGACCATGTCTAATCACAGACACTAGTATTTCTTTTTGATTGATGATCCTCACAACTCCATGAGGCAGATGATATGACTTTCCTTTGATCTGCCAGGGCGCCTGGTCTGGTACAGGACAGGCAGTGACGCTCACTTAAGACTCACCAGCTGACTGATTAGTAACGGCATTAGAAAAATTACTGCTTTACAGAAATTAATAATTGCTGAAGTCTGTCGGTGTAAGAACAGGCTAAAAAGCACTCCAGGCATTCAGAGGAATTATTAAAATCACAAATTAAGTCATTTCTATGGACTCTATGGCAGGAAATATATTTTTAATGAGGAAATTGAAGCTAATATATAACAGCTGTCCTGTTACTGAGTAACAGAGTATTAAGGCTGATTAAATTATTAATAAAAAATACGGCAACTTGGAAATTTAACCTTTACACACACTCTGTTCCTTTTTCTTTTATATGTAGTCTCTATACTGATATTTTTTAAAAAATCACATTTGGTCACATTTAGAAGTTGCCACTTATAATTTCCTTCGCTACTCATTAGCAGTGGGATCTTCAGCAGGCAACTCCCTATCAGTCTTCCTCGAGATCCAGTAACAAAAGTGTGTGTGCCTGGAGGAGCACGGAACCCCTGGGAAACTTACTGGATGATACCTATGCTAGTCAGACGCCCCAAACTCCCACTTATTTGGCGCCACCACCAGCTCCCCTAAATTAGCCAAACTGCCCTTGACCTACAACCCCGATTGGAGAATATTGTTCACATAAAAACACTGAGAATTTGGAAGTTGTTTCATATGCAGCAATAAGTTGTCAATAAGTGATTCAAGAAGTTATTCACAAGTTACTAAAGGCATAACCTTATAAAAAAAGAAAAGTAGATGGGGAGCATAAATGGAGAGAAATGGGAAGGAAGGAAGGTTGAAAAACTGCATAGCATAGCCTAGCATGCAGGGGAACAAGGTTGTGAAAAAAGGAGGACTTGGTGTGGTACCGCCACCTCCTCCGCCCTTTAGTCTCTGCCCCTTCTGCAGAGCTTCCAGCAGCACTACACTGGGACAGAGCGCCTGGGGGTTCCCAGTCTCTGTGGTCCCTAGGAGTTACTGTCAGGAAGACCCAGGGCAGAATTTGCCATCTTCAGTGGAAAACAAGTGGTGGTTACTAGTTATTCTGACCATGTACTTTGGAATGGGATTTGCCACACCTATCTTCCTAGTAAGACACCAACTGCGTAAGAAATAAGGGTGTTTTAGTTAATCCATAAAACAGGTAACTAATGAATGGACTTCTCATCTTTCCATAGCAATATTTTCCCTTTTATTTCTTTTTTCCCCTTTCTGCACCCTCAACCCCCCAAAATACAAAATACAAAAACACGGCCTAGAAAAGCCATGCTTTGTGTCTTCCACAAGTTCACTCCCATCCAAGGGGAAGGAAGAGCAGCCACCGTACAGGCCCAGATTGGTGGGGTACTCACGTTGGTGTTGCACAGCTTGTACTGGCGATAGGCCCCAATGCAGGAGATGGCTACAGACCGGGCTGGCTGGGAAAAGCTCTGTGCTGCCCTGGGGGCCCCCATGGTGTGGCTGCTGCCGAGTTCTGGGCTGTGGAAGAGACTCGAAGCTGCAGGGAAGCCTTGGTCATAGGTCAAAGGGAGCTGGTAGATGGAGGTCTCTGAGGCCTGTAGTCCAGAACGAGGGCCACTGTCACTCTGGTACAGAGGTTCATGGTGGGGGGCCCGGTGGGCTGGTGGGCTATAGCCATGGCTAGGACTAGATGCCCCCTGGGACCTGGATTGCCGGGACGAGGGCTTCTGCCTCCGAAGCCTCTGCGGTGAGTGTGCGGAGTCCGTCTGCAGTGGTAGGATGTACGGGGCCTTCCCATAGCCATACTTGCCAGGGCCGATGGGACCTCGGGTCCTGCTGCTACAGAGAGACACACAAGAGGAGAGACGAACAGTCAAGGGAATTGTCACATTCACCCAGAAGCTCTGGTCCACAGTAGAGGGACTGGGTAGAAACGGAAGCTTGGGAGAGAGCCTACGGTGCGGCAGGGAGGTGGGGGGGGGGGGGCATTCCCAGAGCAGGGAGTGTCGTGGGGGCTGGAACAAGGCTCTGCAGAGGCTGGAGGGTGGGATGAAGGAGGGAATCAGCCGTGCGTGATGTCAGGGGTTGAAAATGGGGTTAGAATGGTAAGCTGTGGTCAATATGTAACTTATATCAGGGGGTTTGGGTATTTACATGGGTTATAGGGAGCCACAGAAGGTTTTTTGAGAAGTATAATTGTAATTTTAGCCATAGTAACTTCCTGTTCTTTTTTTTTTCTGATAGAGTTTGTGGGGTTTTTTTTCTCACTCAATTATGCCTGATATTTCAGACCCTGTTTCCATTACCATTCATGCCCAAATAGCTTTTCCAGGTAAGCAGAACTTAGCTAAGCAACCAAATTCTAGTGCAGTCCTGGGCCTGACTTGTGCTGGGTCAAACTTAATCTCTGAAGAAATGAGAGGAGGTTCAGGACCTGGAGACTCCATCACTCTCCAGGCAACCCATGTCAAACAGCAGGTCAGCGGCCATCTTCCTATCGGTGTGGATTTTGTCAAGACCTGTTGCCTTATGAAACCTTATGAAAATCATATAAACAAATGGTGGTGTGTTTAGAAGTGCTTGACAAGTGGCATTCCAGAGGGGGGAAAGTTGTAGCATTTTCTCATTTCCATAGCATAAATACCCCCACCATGGCCAATTCCAAGCTGCCATCATGGAGACACAATCTGCTGGAGCGAGGAGGGGCAAACCAGCTCCAGCACACACTGTGTGTAAACGTGCCACACAACAACTGTCTGCATTACAAGGGAGTGGGAAAGAAGAACAAAAATGAATCAAACGGGGTTCCCAAGACCTCAGCCTTACAACTGAAAGCAACTAAAACATCACACAGGGCAGGATAAAGGCCTTGGAGGCGTTGCCGAAACGGTGCTTTGGGAATGCTGAGGCAAGAGGAAGCACTGTGGTCTGGAGGGATCTGAGAAGGTTTCACCACCACTGGTCTGCGACTTGGGAAGCACAGGTTCCAATATTCTGTGGAAGGACTTAAGTAAGTCATATAACTCTTATTTGTAAAATGACTAAACTGGATTAAATGACTGCGAAGGTCGTTCCAGCTCTAAAATTATATGCTTCCATAATAATTAATTCTACTTTTATGTAAAACTGGAAAGGTGCCCAAGGGTTTCTACAAGATGGCCCCATTAAAATAAGCACATTAAAATAGCAATCAAGGTGAAACATTAATTTTTGCCCTCATGAGGAAATTCTTTCTTCACTATACATAACCACTGAATATAAAATTTAACAGACCACAACTAATTATTAACATCTTTATCACTAATTGTACCTTCATTCTTAGCTGATATGGCTTTGAATTAAACTATGCTATAGTGCTTATTTTGCCTTTAGGCACTTCTCAATTAATCTTGGCAACACTTGGGACTCTGTTAATGATGAGGGATCCAGCATGCGGCTTTAAGAGATGCATTTAAGAAGTCAGTCTTAAAAATATGTATAACTTGAATGTAATTTGCGTTTTTCTTTCTCATGCAGGCCAGGTAAAATGAATGACATCATGCAAACGCAAAGGAAAGAATTTCTCTGTGTGCGTATGTGTGTGTCTTTTTTTTTTTTTTTGAAAGATCTGAAAGCCTACCAAAATTTCTAGCCTCAAAGTAAATACTGGGTGGAGACCCTCAGCCGAAGGTCACAGAAATGGGGACGTGAGCAGGGCTTCTCAACTTGAATGTGCCCGGGAACCACCGGCAGATCTTGCTGAGAGACAGGTCCTGACTCAGGAGGTCTGAGGCGGGCCTGAGGTTCTGCATTTCCTACAGGCTCCCAAGTGGTGCTGGAGCTGCTGGTCCACGGACCCACAGCTCTGAGAAACAAAGTCGTGGGAGAGAATTGAAATTCCAAACAAAATGGTGAAAATTCAACAGCCAAATGTATCATGTTATTGAAGAAATATAGGAATAAAGTAAAAACAAACAAAAATCTCTGGGTTTGTGACATCTATAAAAACTTTGCTGTCCCAGGCCATATTGCATGCGGCAGCTCAGCCCGTGAGGGCTGACTGGCCCTCAGCCCTTAGGGGCAGAGGAGGCGGAGCACCTGCTGGTGGCTGAGGACTTGTATAAGCATCTTTTCAAAGGCTGCCCATCACTCCTGAGGGGGTAATGCATACATGTGCAAATGTGCAAATGTATATTTTTGTATTCGCACGGCCTTCTGGGAGGCTCTGTCCAAGCGGGAGAACCATTCAAAACCCACGAATAGCAACACTATTTGAAAGATTATCATTTGTAAACAAACAACAAGCTAATTCTGAGAATCAGACTAAAAAGAATGAGCAGTCAGTTAGCGTGTGACCATGAGAGATGTGATTTCTGCATACTTGACTCGGAACTTGGACACGCAGCAGGGTCGTCCCTACTTGGCCACAAGGACGTGTGTTTCCCTCACAGCTGGTCAGAGCTAATCATCCTGATGGTTCACAATGGCCTCCTCCCCACCAGGCCACTTGCAGAGCGGCTTACATGAACCAGGCAGATTTATGCATAGTTGGGATAATAAGCACAGATGTGGCCGAGGGCAACCCTGTGGCCAGTTACCCTCCCAGGGGTCCATGTGGTAGATGCCTGGGGGGCTGTTAAGCTGATTAGTTCTGCTTGGTCTTCCCATAACCCATCGCCAGAATTTTACTATGGCCTCCCCTATTGTCAAAGCTCTAATTCCAGAAAGTGAAGCCTTAAGAAAGAAACAGAAAAAGCCTGGTTTGAAGATCAAAGATATGCATGCCAGTGTGACACAGTGGTTAATGAACAACTTGGACTGTGAAGCTAGGGTTCCTGGGTTTATATCCCACCTCTGCTACTTACTAATTTGCTTACTTATGTACTGAACCTTTGAAAACATTACTCAGTCTTCTGATGCCTCAGTTTCTTCAAACAGGTCCAAGGCTAGGATGAGGCCAGTGAAGCATGTAGTGTCCGGTACATTCTGGTTGAACCTGAGAGTAATGTCTTTTTAAATTTTTTACCTAAAGGCCTTGCCCTAGCCCAGTCCTCAGTTTATAAATAAATATGATGATAGCTTTCTCATAGGTTGTTGCAAAGAGTAAACAACTTAGTAAGAGCAACAGATTTAAATAATGACTAGCATAGAGCATGCATGATGCAAGAATTTGCTTTTAAAAAATGCTCTGGCTTGGCCATTTAACAGCTCTACAGACTTTGAAAAAGACTGTGCCCTCAGTTTTCTTACCTACAAATGCGAGTATAGCCACTAGGATGGCTATGAGAAAAAGGGCAGATAGTAAAAGTGTTGAAGAGGATGTAGAGAAACCGGAACCCTCACACATTCCTGGTGGGGATGAAAAATGGTACAGTCACTTTGGAAAACTATCTGAACGTTCCTCAGAAAATGAAATGTAGAGTTACCATGTGGCCCAGCAATTCCAATCCTGGGTACATACCCATATAAATGAAAACATATGTCCACACAAAATCTTAACCCAAATGCCTTTCAAGTGAGAATGGACAAACAAAACAGTAGTGTACTACTCAGCCACAAAAGGGATGAAGCATTCATGTACACTATGATACAGGTGAACCTCGAACACATTCTAAGCGAAAGGAGCCAGACACAAAAGGGATGTTTTGTATACTTCCATTTATATGAACTGTCCAGAAGAGGCAATTCCACAGGGACAGGAAGTAGACTGGTGGTTGCCCATTAGATAGTGACGATGGTTGTACAACCTTGTGGATATACTAAAAACCACTGAATTATACACTTCAAATGGTGAATTTTATGGTATGTTAATTTATCTCAATAAAGATGTTATTTTTTACATGAGAACATGAATAATATCGATTTTATCTACTGACAGTGATGTAAAGATCACATGGAGGTTACTAACAGGAACACATTTTTTAAATCTAAAAGCAGTTTCTGTCATGTTTTCCATCATTTATCTCCACAACCTTTAACACACAAACCTTTACCGAGCAACTTCTATGAACATCTATTGAGCACTGTGTGTGACGTTTTCCTGCCTGTCCACACTCCCTGCCCTGATGACATACGTAGATGCAGAGCCCCTTCCCGACGGCACGGCTCACGGATGAAACGCCACAGCAAGCGTTCTGGCACCAGGCCCAGGCCCAGCTCCTCCAGTGACCTACCATGGGTTTGACGGAAATTGTTGTTTCTTGAGATAATGGCTACAAATAGCATTTTGGAGAGGGTAATAAACACATAAAATATTTTCCTCACAGCATGCTGGCTGCCATCCAGGGGTTCATTATGTGTGATGTTGTGCAGCTTTGTGATGTTAATGCTAATCAGTGTGATGATTCCACATCCAAGCTCCTAACTAGGCAGGAACACTGGAAATGTGTCATCCAAAACCATCACCCGTAACTGACAACACCCATATTTCTATTCCCTATCCAAACCCCTCTCCTGAAAGTCAACCACACAGACCCAACTAACCTCTAGGTCAGGAGTCCCCGGGCTCCAGGAGCAGACCGGTACCGGTCCAGGCCTGTTAGGAACCGGCCACACAGCAAGAGGTGAGCTTGAATGTAGTGCGCTTGAATCATCTCAAAACTATCCCCCTACTCCCTGGTCCATGAAAAAATTGTCTTCCACCAAACTGGTCCCCAGTGCCAGAAAGGCTGGGGACCACTTCTCCAGACTAGAGTCGGCTTATCACCTGTGATGTGCGTGAAAGTCACCTGGGAATCTTGTCAAAGTACAGCCTCTGATTCTGCATTTCTAACAAGCTCCCAGGTGATGCTGATGCTATGGGTCCTGGGTGCACACCTTGACAGCCTCACAGAAATCTAAAACTCAACAAATTCAGGCCA